TTCGCTTGCTGCCTCTGACACATGCTCTGCAATCAATCCGAAGGCAAATAGATTCCTCAATTTTCGATTGCAGTTTACCCTCAATAAATAACAAATTTTTGACATCTGCAGTATGCCGACCACATGGCTACTGACAATTCCCATCCCAATTCCAATATCCATGCCCAGGGCAAACATTTCCATTTCGGCAGAAGAATTTCTGGCACAATGAATGGCAACTACAAGGATGGGTTGATGGCTTCTCCATGTCATGTCATTTCATATGTGGCAGGCAGGTAAACATTTTGACTAATGCCAGGAACCACTTGAATCCCAACTTTAATTGTTGGATTACATGTCTACTTCTTTGACTATCACCAGGAGTCCCAAGTATCCTAATTTTCAAGTGAAGATTAACACAGAACTAAAGACGATGCCGAATTTATTGGCTAAATCTACGTTTTTGTGGCTTACAAATTGTTATATACCATTTAGTAGCCGTTTTGGATACAAGGATTTTTTGTAGAGTTCTTTATAATTTCAAGAAGCTTCTGTAAATATTTTCACTAAATTCTCGTCTAAAATTTGTTTGAAAATTTACTTGGAAGTTGCCAAAACTAGCTAAGGAAGCCAAGCAATTATAATGCAACAAGTATTGTCTAAGAAAATATTTCGGGGAAATCTTGTTCATGTGGGAAATGTAAATTTCGTATTACCACAACATGAACAAGACTAGAAGAGGGGGGTGATGTCAGCACCAGGCTTTTCCATCCAACGACCCCCTCACTTCGCCTCCTTTTCGCCTTGGGCGCATTTTCCACTGTTAAGCCAAAAAGGCCAAATGTCCTTTGGGAAGCGGCAGCCGTTGAAAGCTTATAAAGTGCAACAGCAATGCGGCAGAGAGTGTGTGCTTGTGTGTGTATAAGGCCGCTACGTGACTGTCCTGTCAATTCCTTAAATGCAAGGCTGAAATGGGGTTGAAATGGGGGGAAAGGGGTGGTTGAAAATGGGCGAAAGGCGGCCAATGGCGGGCAAAAGCACCGCTAAGCGCTGCTGATGAAGTCGCGTCCAAAATGCAACGTTGCAATTTGGCAAATTGAAAACATGAAACTGAAGGTGCTGAAACGGCCAGCTCAGCTGGCGAGCTACAAACTAACCGCAAAGTTAATTTACCCGCATCCTTGGCATCCTTGAAAACACCCCATTCCCACTGCACGCACGTCATGTAATAGGTACTTCCGCTTGCAAAATGGCAACAATGTGGCGGTGGGGAGTTGAAGAGCGATTGTGTGCGTTGGTCGCCACTAATTCCGTAATTTCAAACGTGGTGGCCCACTCAACCACCACACTGGCTGCAAAACACTGAAAATCTCAAGTGGCTTGGTTTATTTTACTTAATTAACTATTAGATTTCCAATTGAATTGATTGACAGACTTAATTGTATATATTTTAATCTGGTTATTAGTTATATTCTTTGTATTGATTAAACAAATATAATAAATAACTTAATTTGCTTATATTTAAACACATGAAACTCGAGTTAGTTCACTTATCAGTAGTTTATAAACACTATTAAAATCTAATAATTAAATGTATGAAAATTCTGTGCTGATACTTTGATATTTAATTGTTTAGTTTGGTTATTTATAATCATACAAACATGTATTATTAATATTTGTATAAGGAAGACGAGACATTTACCCAATCAAGTTTCCATTTAATTTTTTTAAGTTAGATGGGGCTTATATTTTGAACATTTTTTCTGCAGTGACCCCTCGCTGTTTGCCGTCTATTTATGGTCGCCGTTGGACCCTGCAGTTGCAGGTGCCCTGATTGTGGGTGGGGGTGGCTTTGGGTGGCCCCTGTAGTTCAGGTGGGCAGCGGTGACCGCAGGTCCCGTTCAGTCATTTGCATGCCCCGACTTCGGAAAGTGACGTGGGCTGCACCGCAAAGCGTCCTGAAACCTGCAGACTGCAGCCTGCAAACCGGGAGAACCACGGATCCCAACACGTTTGTGCCGCACTTTAATTAAAAATAACTACCGCCGCTGGGTAAAAGTGCATGACCAGCGAAGCCAACTTACACATATTTTTTAATTACGGCAAATATGAGTGGAGCTCTCCATGCGATGTGTGTGTGTGCATTTGTCTGATTTGCATGTTGCAATTTAAAATAAACACTGTCGAGTTTAATTCGAGCTGCAGTCGCTACTATTTTGCATGGTAGCGAAACATTACAAACAGGCTATAATCAAGGGGGTCTTATAGTAATTATTTTGGTGGTTTCATGCTGAGGGTAATGCCACAAAGCGAACTAAACTTTATACAAAACGAAGGTTGTGAGTAGAGCAGGTCATTTGAAATGCATGAGCTTTTCACCCAAATATTCAAATTATTTTTTATGTTTTCAAAAAATAATCACCATACAGCTGTGGTCACAACAAAAGTTTTCCATAACAACGAATTAGCAGTAATAATTGTTTAGTGTTAAATACAAAATAGGATTAGAGTTATTCTGTATAAAATACATACCCTAATAATTTTTCTAGGCTATTTCAAAAGAATATAAAAATAAATTTAATTATTTTGGTCGTTACTATTAATATAAGCCCAACTATATTGCGCCCACATGTGGACTTTACCATTTTGTATGCCATGATGTCGGTGATTTCCGCTGCCTATTTCCGGAATAGAGTGCGTGACAGTCGGGATAGCGCATATTCCCCCTTCTCCATCCTAATTTGCCACTGCTCATGGCCAGCTCTAATTGCTGCTGTCGAATTAGGAAACAAACTATCTGCAGAAGGCATCCGGGGAACCACAGCGTCAATGCTCTATTTGGAATTATGCAAATGTTGACTTGCTTGATGGACAGGCAGTGGGATGATGGCATTGTCAATTCCACAAGGATTCGGATGTAGTTTGAGGGGGACGGGGGAAAGGCTTCAGTGCGCCGCTTTGCGGCAGCTAAACGCTTTGGCAAATTCAGATTTTGCATGGGCTTAATTACGTCTAATTGTTTGCATTTTGCAGCGAAATATTTACATTGCGCAGTCCGTTGGCAGAAAATTCAGCAGGCACGCCATGTTGGGCTAATGCAAATTTGCTGAATTTATAAATGAGTTTCATGTTAAACAAGGGACTTGTGAGTTCTGTTTTCCACATTAATTCAAACAAAGTTACATAAAAATAAAATATGTAGTTGTTTCGATGGCTTTTGTATGGGGAAACAATCGTACGAGTTTAGATACGGCATATTTCTAAAAAGTAGTAAAGCTCTATTTTATATATATGGCTTTAATAGAATTCTATTTAATAACCCTTAATTTACTTGAAGCTTTTGCTTCCACTTTATTAGATCAACTTAATTGGACTTTAGACCAGCGCAAATAAGCTTATAATTTCAGTGGCTGGTGGAGTTGGTAACTTAATGTTCGATTTATGGCATCCGACCGAGGTCGACTGGCTATAAAAGGGGGTGCAAAAAATTTGTTTGCCAAAGTGCGCATTAAACTCTTAATCTTTAGTGTTGACATTAAATTTACAGTAGCAACTAAGCTGAGCACGAAGAGCCACGCCCACAGAAGCCGGCGAGAACAAAGCAATTTTACTGGCCACCCCAGGACATCAGGACAAACACCAGCACTAAACCCATCTGCAGAGCGGAGTTCAGGAATTTATTACCCAATTTTAAATTGCAAACGAGTGCGTGATAAAGTCCTGGATACTGTTGTGGGTCTCTTGGGCGCTTCTTCTGGTCTTGTGTGTTTTATTCCAAACACCATTGTTTATGTCCGAGGAGAGGACAAACAAGTGCAGTCTGCATGCAAAGTCAACGGTGGTCAAGGTTTAGGGACAAAGGATGCTGGCAGGATGTAGTCCCAGACCGAAAATGAACTAGACTGCATGTTAAGAGCAAAACTGTTGGCAAACTTTAATGCTGCTTTATGACGGAGCAGATGAGATTGGCTCGGTTTTATACACCATATTTCGATGCAAGTTGCATTTTGCAGGTGGCACGTGGCAAACGCCGAAAGTGTTTACCATGCAAATGTCGAGGGGCCATTTCAATGCAAATGCGCACAAATGGCAACGTTGTTTCACCCCCACATCCCCTTCCCATTTTCATTTTAAACATTTTCCCTTTTTGTTTGCGGTGCTATGCTCTCGGAAATGTGAATGCAAACCGCCTTTCGAGTCCTGGCATTTTGCATTTGACGTCAGCTGAAATTACCTATTGCCCCTTCCTTTCAACCGGGGGTCATAAATTTGTGTCCCATTGAAGCATTTAAATTTATTTCCATTCCGCATTCGGGTCGAGATTTCAAGAGATTTCTCCACTCTGCAGGGGGATCAGCGAATTTATTACCCGCAAATAAATTCCATGTGATACATTCACATTTTCGGAATTGAAAAGGCAGGCGAAAAGGACACTTAAGAGTGGAATAAGAAAAATCTAGATCCGGAATCCAAAATGGGTGCGAACTGTGATATTTATTTTCCGACACTTTTTGGCAAACCGTTTTTCTTAATTTTTGTATAGTTTATCTAAATTAATATATAATACCTTTATACATATCGGGTTTATAATGATGAATGGTAATCATTTTTATAATATACCATTTTAATCTACAATGTTTATAAAAAGCTTTCAACTTTTTAACATTTGCACACATTTAAAATTATCTTTATAAATGCAAGGTCGAACTACCCTAAAAAATCTCCATTAAAATCCTTGGCAAACTTCCCGGCAACTCATTAATTTTTAAGCAACTGATAAGAAGATACGTGGGAGGACCTTCCGCTGCCAGGCGCGTTCCGCACTCAAAGTTAATGGCTGGGTGAGACCACGCCCTGCTCATCTAGAATTTCGAAAGCGATTCCCTTAATGGCAGCCCGCCATTAGTCTCAAGTGGCAATGTGGCAAAGTTGCGTCTAAACTTTCCATTTGTTCCATTTAAGCTGGCCCCTAATCCGCCATCAAATAGTAACTTTCTCCGGTCTCTTTACTTTTTTTGCAGGTCGCTTCAATCAAAGGGGAAAATCAACTGTTAACCGGCGAGTGGACGCATTTAAGGCCATCGAAAAAGACAAACAAAAGGGCAGGCGTGCATGAAGTGAAATCTGGCGGCTAACCGGCCGGTGAGTCTGGGCCATCATCAATTACCCCATATCCTCGCACCTGGCCATTAAAGTCAAGAGGGGAGTGTGGCAAAAGTGTGGAGAGCAACAGGTCGGCCGCGTAAGTCCCAGGACGCCAGGACGCCAGGACCTCGAGCCCCATAAGTGGGCGAGAGTACGTGACTTAATCAGCGGACGCAGCAGGATCCTGAGCCTGGCTAACGAGACGACCAGAAGAGTGAGGCGGCGGAGGAGGAGGTGTCCCCCATTTTCACCCGCAATGATTTCATACACGGCACAGTGAGCAGCAGCAACATGACAGATGTGTCATCGCCAGCTGGCGGCGCCGCAGCTCCGGTTGAAATAACCACCAGTAGCACAACAGCCGCCACAACGTCGGCGTCCTCGGTGTCCAAGCCGCTGACCAATGGCGCCAACAAGACGGCCACGTCAACGGCAATTGGCGGATCATCCCCTCCAATTCCCTCCAGCAGCTCCGGTGGCAGTCAGGCCAAGCTGGACCATCATCACCGGCAGAGCAATAACAATCGACCCACAATAAATCCCAGTTCGGAAACCAAGCTGAGATCTCCGGGTGGCGAAAGTGATGCCACCTCAAGGTTAATGGCACCTGCCCCATCCGCATCGCAGTCCCCAGCTCAAGCCAGTGTCCAAACCCAAACGAGTCAGCAGGAGAGGCTGGGCAAGCCGAGTCCCACGACATCTCAGCAGGATGTCGACGAGGTGGCCCGACTCTTCGAGGAGAAGCCGGAGGCCTTCGAGAAGTGGCTGACGGAGAGGGCTCCTCCCGAGGCCCTCAGCCGCCTGCAGGAGTTCATCGAGAACCGCAAGCCGCACAAGCGACCCTCGGTCACCTCCGATCTCTTCCAGCAGTGGATGGCCGCCTCGCCCACCGTGCAGCAGGTTGGTTAAATAAATACATTTTAGCACGAGATTACTGAAACCTTATTTATGTAACTGCAAAAAAACCCTTCTATATCCTATATTACATACCCTTAGAATATTTTCTTTATACATTTCTGACCTTATAAAGTATGTATATTCCTAATCATCCAAGAGAGAAATCGAGAAAGTATTTGAAAAACACCAACCCCTTTTCAATTTTTCGAAAAAATTGCTTTGCAGAAAAAGAGTCCAAAGTGCATAACTTTTCTTACAGACATCCGATTTTAAAGTGGCATACCTCTAAATGTTTGTGGTTTGTTTATCCAAAAATCTGCATTCAAATCTTGATTTGTATTTTTAAGTAGATTTTTAGTCATTTTTATGATGAAACCCCTTTCCAAATTTTAGAAAAATGGCGTTGCAGAAAAGACTCCAAAACCTGCACTTCTAAGCGCATAACTTTTCTTACAGGCATCCGATTGCAAAGTGGCATACCTCCAAATGATTGTGGGTTGATTCTCTAAAAAACTGAATTTAAAACTTGATTTGTAATTTAAGGCCGATTTTTAATCAATTTTATGATGAAACCCCTTCAAAATTTTCGAAAAATGGCTGTGCAGAAAAGAGCACAAAATCTGCACTTTTAAGAGCATAACTTTTCTTACAGACATCCGATTTCTAAGTGACATACCTCTAAATGATTGTGGGTTGATTCTTTAAAAAACTGCATTTAAAACTTGATTTGTAATTTAGGGTCGATTTTTTGTCATTTTTTTGATGAAACCCCTTTTCAAATTTTCGAAAAATGGCTTTTCAGAAAAGGGTCCTAAGCCTGCACTTCAAGACTCATAACTTTTCTTACAGATATCCGATTTCAAAGTGGCATACCTCTAAAAATTTGTGGTTGAATTCCCCAAAAATAGTTTTAATTTTTGTGTACGTTTAAAATGTGTCCTTAAGTATGTAATATTACAATTAATTCAGAAACTCAGTCTTAAATACAGATAGTTTTAATAAAATCATTTTCAAGTGACTTCAAATCAGTGGAACGAAGAAAGTCAAGCTTTTGCTATAAAATTTTAGCTTCTAGGTGGTCTCTCCTGCCATTAAATCCATTCAATCTATTTCGGCCTTGCTAATGTTTTCCACCCCAGCACCTGGAATTCTCACCCAAACCGAGTGAAAGTGCAAATGCAGTTGGCAAGTGGCAGTGGCAATTGCATTGGGTCCCAGCACTTAGCCATCAGCCTTTCACTAGTCAGTGCTTTATTTGCCCACCGCCTGCCACTATTTGAGCTGCTATTTGTATTTGCCCTGCTTTGTTTTGCCCTGTTTTGTTTTACTTTGGCACTGCTGCTCCGCGCTGGATTTCCGCTTTTATTTAACTTTGCTCGCCTTCTCGCCGAGCGAATTAACTAAATTGATATTTTCACAAATTTCCTTTGGCTTTTGCTTGTCTTTTCTTGTCTGGCTGCGTGTGAAGTTTGCTAATTGGAAAAACACACACAGCCACAGAGATTCGGAGTGGCATTTCCACAGCAGTGTTGCCTTTCACGTCCCCCAACCTCCTACTTATGTTAAATTCAGGCCCTAAAAAGAAAATTACTCGATTCCAATCCTCCAGCAATCGACAGCCAAAAAGCATGCTATATATATTTATTGGTTATTTATTGAGCTCCTCCGCCGACAGGTTTTTAAATTGCTACCTCACACGTTGCCGTCAAGTATTTTTCAATTAACTTTTATTTGATTTTTTCAGTTTTCCCCCCATTTTGGGGCAAAACATAAAATAAAATCCGGTAGAATATATTGGCTTGACCTTTGTCGACGAGAAAATGGTCGTTTCGCTAAATGAGTTTCGTGCGTGGTGTTTTTTTTTGGACAAATTAAAAAATGTATTTTTACTTATTTCATAAATTAAACATTTTTTAAAATGTCAATGGTCTTAAATATTAAGATCAATATGTATATTTCATATAAAACCTAATAAATATATAAGAACTCTTATAATTTTAGAAATATAATTCGCTTGAAACTATTTTTAAGGTAAATAATGTTTTTATAACGAAAAGCCCTTCTATTTACTCAATTACTTGCAATTTATTTACTTGTTTATTTGATTGCCCATGATAATGGCCATCATTAAGGGGCTTGAACTCGAAGACTCATTGAACTCTTTTGGCACACTCGATAAAAACTGCCATCGAGAACTTAGTGGTGCAATGCGTATCTCGAATGTTTACATTTCTGAAACATCCAACCAAATTACGAGTATGTTAGATCACAACTTGAACTGCTCGTTGACTGCAATTGGTTGAACAAAAACAGAAAAATATCAAAACAAGAAGTGCACTTCAGTCGCACATGGAAATCGGCACTCACCTGGGCACTTGTGAATCAAAACTAAAAGTCAGTGGAAAATTATTTCAGCCAGTGCTGGTGTGTGTGTGTGTGTAAAGGAAAGGAAAGGAAAATGGAGAAAACTAGGCCAGTGTCCTGGGTAAAACAAGCAGCAGTCAGTCCTTCAGACCTTTCAGCGATTGTATGGCTTAGTGAGTGCAATTTTTTGCAGCAGGTGAACAGCACGTGTGCCTTCCCCCTTTTGTTGTCGATATTGTCAATTTATTTAAGTGCATGTTACGCAATGCAAACTGCAATCCCCGTTGAGGGCATTGGCAGTTCTTAGACCCAGATATTTATCCGCATTTATATCGGTAGCTGTGTATATAGCACTGAAATTTACATGGCATGCAGGACGCTTTTCCCATTAAGAGTCATTTCTGTTTCATGTTTTCACTTTCTTTTTGCGCAAAAAAAAAAAGAACAATAATAAAAACAGAACGAGTACTCAACAGCGTTTGTTGATTTTATTGTTCTTTTCAGGGGAACGGAATACCCAATGCCACTGACTGAAGTTCAAATTTACTTAACGCTCTGACTGGCTTTGCTTTGTTTTTATTTCCCTTTATTTGTCTGCATTTTATTTAATGAATTTGCATTGTTCCCGCCCGAACACAAATAAAACTGTTTTTCTAACTTTCCGTTCAATCCAAACAAGGCAAACATTGTTTTACGCTCTGTTCGTTGACGTCTTTTTGACAGTCTTTTCTTTTTCTACAGACTGCGAACGAATTTTAATGGCATTTAATTGCTTAATTTATCTTTCCTTTTTATCATCATAAAAAAGGGCCTTCATTAAGTGATGGAAGACCCAAGAAAAGCCATTAAAATAAATCGATCTGAAGTAATGACATTATTTTTCTTCCGAAATTCAAATTTAAATTTAATATTCAACACCAGAATTTTTAAATTAGTTAACATTAACGAATTCATTTAATCATTTCTAAAAATAGAAGTAATAATAAATAAAAAATGTATCGGTTATAAAGTTAGGAATTAAACAAATACCATTTCACACTTGGGCAAATATTAGGCCTTAACTTAACCCAGTTTGATTATATCAACAACACTACGGTAACTATGAAAAAGACCGAAATAATTTTCTACAAGTGAAATACTTATTTTCGCACACATTGTAATTATCAAAATTTCTGGCCCTGTGCTACATGGTAATGTTGATACAGGAAAAGGCAGCACCAGTTCAGTAAATTGCTTTAATTTGTCAGTAAAAATGATAGGGGAGTGGGTGGCAGGACTTGTGGAGTGGGATGGCCTGTTTCCAGGACAAGGATTGGGAGAAGGCACGCAATATGCCCAGCACCCAGTTCGGTTAATTGGCCACTCGCACGCACAGGTCAGGATCGGGGATTCAGGGCCAGAGGCCATTTTCGGTATTCAATTACCACATTGCCTGCGGAGGAGGATTCATGGAATTGGGGAGCCGCTTAAAGGCACAACTGCCAACTGCTGCTAATAGTCACCCTTTGAACCGGACCCAGTTAATTTCCAATGAAGTCGGGGGGAGGCGGGTTAAACGGCCAGAAATCGAAAACAGAAATAATGGAACGTGAGTAGAGACAATAGCCGTTATTGCCTTAAATACACTGTTAAATATTTAAAATGCTCTCTTGTCCTGCTGCATAATAATGCCAGTTAATATACCTATTTATATGGAAACTAATTAAATGGCGAAATTATTCTACTTCCTCGTGCCAAGCAACAGAACTCAATTACCGCTCGAACACGTTCTTGCACTGCTCAAGAATATGTACAAGGTTTTCTAAACAAAATGTTCTAGAAAATAGTTTATAAATTTGTAGAAATATAATATATAATCTTTAAAAGAAAGGATTAGAAAGAGTAAAATAATTACAAAGGTAGAAAATCCTTTCCAAGGTTTTTTAGGTTAATAAAATTTACTCAACTATTTAGTATTTTTGTAAAAATATATGATTTACAGTCAAACTAAGTTTACTTGTAGTGGGAAATAGAGTTCTGAGCTAACTGCTCAGAGATTAAAAAATCATTTGTTAATCGTAAATAACAACATTTTGAAGATTGAAAAATATTTTCTAAAATACCAAAGATTCTGCAGTGTGGCTATTCTTTTCGCTCGGTCTCAATCTAAGCCTTCTATTAACGTTTATGGTGTACGCTTTCTCCTTTCTCCACCAATTTCCCTGGCAGAAATCACCGAGGAGCCTCTCCAACTCTTCGGCATCGTCGCTTCCCGAGAGCCGGAGGCATCTGATGGACTTGGACGAGGGCGAGCTGTTCATGGAACTGATTCGCGACGTGGCCAACGAACTGGACATCGACGTGCTGTGCCACAAGATTCTGGTCAATGTCGGCCTGCTCACCCACGCGGATCGCGGCTCACTCTTTTTGGCCAAAGGCACGCCCACCAACAAGTATCTGGTGGCCAAGCTGTTCGATGTTACACAGAAGACAGGTGAGTGCACTGCCCACTGCAATGGAAATGCCAAATTTTGCATTTCCATTGCCAATTTTCTTCCCCATACACGTGGGTGTTGTAAATGTGCTTGTTTGTGGTCGAAATCCTGGTGGTACTGGTAATCCCGCTTTAATTAAGGTGAACAATGCACATGCGAACTACAACACAATGAGTGAAGGAAGCCAAAATGAATGAAAAATGGGATAAAGGTATACATAAGCCAAGTCAAGTGTTCAGGGGTTTTCAAAAGTGAAGGTAGCAAAAATGAAAGGATTCTGTTGTAAGCCAGATAGACTGGGAAAAACCATAACAACAGGCTCAAAATTTGCAAAAGCAATCAAGATAGAGGAAAACATAAAAACTTTGAGGATTTTAATTGTATGTCTTTGCTTTTTTATTGTTTCTAGTGCATGCTGTGGAAAGTATTATTTTACAATGGATAAATCTAATCATTTTCTGGGGCTAAATTTGTGTAAAATCATCTTTTATGTTTCGGCTTATGTTTAAGCTTATATTCAATTTAATATAATTTATGCCTATTTCTTAAAGTCCACTCTTTAAGCTGTTTTTAAAAATGTTTATGGCCTTGTGAAAGGGCCGACCCATTGGACATTTACAAATTGACACTCATTAGCGGCCGGGCAAATAATTCGTGTTCTGGCCAAAAGGGGCGGCGAACGCATTAGCGAAATTAAGCTGAAACGGAAGAGGGCATTAAAAGTTTTTGGCAGCCCGTGAACCCTATAATACTTAAAAGACCCCCTCCAAATGTGAAATAGCATCTATTTCGGAGAACGTGCTCCCACAGGTTCTGCCCACAAACAAACAGCCAAACATATTCATATGGAAGTGCGTTACATTCGTAATGAATCTTTGGTGCAGATCCGTGAGTAAAAGCCACCGCTTCCGCTACATAATTCAGTGGGGAAAATGCGAGAAAGATTAGAGCTGGGAAACGGCTGATGGGAGCGGGCAGCGGCGCGCCCTCAGATACAGATACATATCTACGCTTTCGGATGCGAATACGGATACGGATTCAAGTGAGCCGAGCCACTGTGTGTTATGATTGAGGCGGGACCGGCGAGCTCATGCAAATTCACATTTGACTTCTTGCCCTCGGATTTCGGGTGCCTTGTCATTATTTATTTATATATTATTCTCTCTTTTTTCGGTGCCCCTGCGTGGGCTGTGTTCTTGTATCTTTTGCATGGCAGAGTGAATATTTTGCCTATAAATTTAATATGTGTTCAGATGCACGACGGGCTTTATCTGCCTCCTAATACGCTTTGCAACGGTTGAACTAATTTAAAACCGGTTTCTGGAAAAAGGTACAACGTTTTTAAATTTCAATTGTAGCCTCATTACCAATTTATAAAATGTTAAATGGTTCAAAAGTGCTCAAAAGCCTATTTATACTTTCTCAATTATAATCATAATAAAATAGTTTTCTTACAACAAATACCAACTTGAAAGTTTTACTAAAATCTAATGTGAATTTTTAAATTTTGTATTTTTAAATATGCATGTATTAACCATTGAGTATCTTAATTTGAGTAAATTTAAAACTATAAATAGTTACAAAAGCCTGATTGCAATTTAAAAAGCGTGGGGTCTTGCAGTAAGATGTGAGTGACCCGAATGAAGCATTCCTAATTCAAGAATTTTATTCATGCTTTGTGATAACTTTTTTGGCACTGCGTTTCCTCTTGATTGAGTCGAATTTGAATCTCGTTTGATTGCAGCACTCAAGGACGCGGTGACTCGGGCCAGTGGTGAGGAGATAATCATTCCCTTCGGAATCGGAATCGCAGGAATGGTGGCCCAGACAAAGCAGATGATTAACATCAAGGAGGCCTACAAGGATGCGCGATTCAACTGCGAAATCGATCTGAAGACCGGCTACAAGACGAATGCCATCCTCTGCATGCCCATTTGCAATTACGAGGGCGACATCATAGGCGTGGCGCAAATTATTAACAAAACGAATGGTATGTATTTATTGACCCCCATTTATATCCATCATTAAATATTCATCAATTTTTAGGCTGCATGGAGTTCGACGAGCACGACGTGGAGATCTTCCGTCGCTATCTGACCTTCTGCGGGATTGGCATCCAGAATGCCCAGCTCTTCGAGATGTCCGTCCAGGAGTACCGGCGCAACCAAATCCTCCTCAATCTGGCGCGAAGTATTTTCGAGGAGCAGAACAACCTCGAGTGCCTCGTCACCAAAATTATGACCGAGGCCCGCGAACTCCTCAAATGCGAACGGTGCTCGGTGTTCTTGGTGGACCTCGACTGTTGTGAGGCGGTAAGAGACTTACACTATGAAAAATATTTAGATTTTTAATGACAAGGTCAATTATGAAATATTGCGGTCAAATGTGGAAAAAACGAAAAAAAACAGATTTTAAGAATAGGGTTTAAATCCCATCCATGGTGGCAATCAATTTGTATTAAATCAATAAGTCAACATCGGCTTTAAAAAACAAAACTTACTATTTTCTTTTCATTTAAATTATTATTATTTGTTCCGTTTCGATGATTTAAGAAAAAATTTGATTTTAAAAAATTTCGTGGCGTTCGGATAGACATGGCTTATTTGACAATATGAAAATACAAATTTTAGATATCATATTACAATTATATATAAATTTAGTATTGATGAAAAGAAACAACAATATATTTATATTATTTTATTTTGAACACCTAACCAAGTAGGGTTAAAAAAGGAATTCTCGAATTCAGACATTCTTTACTCACATTTGTCCAACTTTTTATGAATTTCCGAAAAATACTCTGCTTGTTTCTTTTCAAAACCGAAAATGTTGGAAATGATTTTGTTTTGAACCAGGGGCATTATAATTTTCAGTGTCGTTAGACTTATAAGGCTACAAAGGATTGAAAGGGGCTCACATATTTGTAATTATTAATAATCCAATAAGAGTATAGTTATTTGGATTTGTCTTACGATTCAAAGCTTTCCACGAGTGTACCGTTTTTATAGTGTTCATCTTGTTTAACTTCAGTGCCCATTGTGGTTTCTGAGGTTCAGGATTTTGGGAAACAAATAGAAGTATAATGCAGTAATAATATAATACAACTTACGAGCGGCTATGCAAAACGACCATCTGAGAATGTCTGGAAGGACATCTTTTTCACCCTGATCGACATAGTTGTCCAGCAAAGACACAAGGTTTTTCGTCTCGGCATCAAAAATGGGAAAAAAAACTGAGTAGGAGATCCTGTTTAAACGATGGGTTTAGGTGTTTACGACGCTCAATCCACTCAGGGTCTTAACAAAAAGTAAATTTTCAATTGGAAAGCTTCAAATAATTCACTTATTTCAGAACCTTGAGAAGACAAGAGTCCAAATCCCAGGGAAGTATTTATTGCATTAGCAATATGCGGACTCTTATTGTGGCAATCAGAAGACGTAAAGACATCCTCGACGATCTTTGGATCTCGAGTTATTAAAAACGGCACTGGTCCCATCCAAATTAAAATTGTTGATCCATAGTTGTCCATATGCTTGGTTCGAAATCTCACTTCACCTTTTGATGCGGTGGGTTTATAAAATTTATATTATATTATCAACTTTGGTGCTTGGCATTTACGTTTGTTGATAAGTTATCCACGGAACTGCCAAGAATGGGTAACCCTTTGGGACCGGGAAACCTTAGCATTAACATATAAAAACGGCGCTGACTCCACAAGAAATATATCAAAAAAGCTTATCCGGCAGCCAAGAACAAGTATAACGTTAGCATCCTATTTATTTGCTCTACTTCAACAACAATCACCTTAAAAAGCTTTTACACACTGATTTGATTGAAAGCAATGGCTAGGGCTTTTATAGAAAAGTCGTCTACACTCAAGGAAAAAACAAGTATTGATATATAAACCATTGAAGGCGTTGTTAATACAATTTAATTGCCGGAAGTTGTCTTGTAGCTAATTTTGTATTCTTCATTGCCCTGGTATGCAGATTTATTATGAGTTCCATATTATTTAAATAGATTCCAGCACAACCAGGGGCGCATCTGTTGCAAAAAAAAGGGGTCTACAATTTTTATATTTATACATATTTGCTTGTGCGGAATGAGGGTAACTAACACCTGTCTGTGGCGGATCCAGGATTTGGTTGTACCAATTTCGTATACCTTATCACCCGAAGTTTAACCCCCCAATCCACCCGTGCATTTGGGCATACTTCGAACAATCTCAGCATGAATATCTAGGTTAATAAAATAACTGTATATCCATTACAAAACCTGAACTATTAAGCTGAAGCAATTAAATAAGCGGCAGTTTCAATGGTTCAACATTTTTTCTTACAGAAAAAGTTGTTATTGGTAATATTAAATTAGATATTTACCATCGTGCCAATCCAACCATCTTAAAAAGAACTCTTCATGTCTCACCTCAAATCAAATAAAATCGATTTAATTAAATTAAAATGAATCTACAGAAAAACAAATGCTGTCCAAACACTTGACTTGCTAGGTAAAAGCGATCGGCAATGGTCGCCTTAAAATGGCACGTGAATAAAAAGTAATACATTGCGGTTCCTGCGGTCACTGGCATATCCCCCTCACTTCGAATTCGTATCCTTGTTTGAGCGGCTGTCAGTTTTATTTAAATTGTTTAAACGCCACCGCGGCGGCCATTTTGTTTGTGTGTTTGTCAACCCAAAGGAAATTAAAATGTGCAATTTACATTATGTTTCCTTGGGACACGACTGTGGGCGTTTCCACGTAGCGGGAATTCGGGAATGAACAAGTGTCAGCCATTGCGTGGAATTGTGACAGCGAGGTGGTAAAGCTCCCTGGGGGAATGAAGAAAATTATGTCCAAGTCTGGGCAATTTTCATTTGGGCTCAAGTTTGGCTGATTGCCTGTCATTATTCAGGGGCTGATGATTGAAACGCCCTTTATGAAATTCTTCTTACTCTCGTTTAACTGCAAATAAATTAACTAGTATTTAAAACAGGTTAGAATTAAACTGACTGTTAACAGATTAATGGAGACAACAATGCAACAATATCTCCGACCTATTTATTAGTTATCTGATATCAATTATTATCTTGGTAATTTATACCAGTTAACAATTATCACTACTTAATCAAAGTGGTGTTGTAAGTCGCACGTACATTTAAATTTAATAAAGAAGCATATTACATTCAATAGGCTATTTTTTTTGAGAATGGAATACATTTAAAGATTACATTTTAATCATTACAATTGGAATTTTATAATAAAAATATTAAGTTTAAAATAATTAAGTAATATTTGCCTAATTATTTCAAAGACACTACAAATAGCAGTCGAGTATACATCAATTTAAAACAATTATTTTTCCCGAATCTGTGGAGAGTCTTTGTATAAAATAACATGTGTAACATACTCTCTGAACGATGGACACGTGTGCAATTGATTTGCATATTCAACCTTGGCCAACAGGTCGCATGAATAATGCCAGAAAATATTCCTCGAGGAATTACGCATTAAAATTGTAAATGCAATTGCCCGTAAGAGGAGTAAAACAGATGGTTTGGCCTTTGGCATATATGAAAGATATTTTGCTTGACCAATTTGATGAATGCATCTCATTAAATTATTGCACGCTGCATTAATTTGTAGCCAACGGCCATCGATATCGACATAAGTGACCTTTATACAAATATAACTAAACAAAAGCTTTCATTTCCCACAGATATTGTTATTAATTTAATATGAGCTGGACACAGCAATGTGCCAATTAAATTCCATTGACAACGATGATTGTTTATTCGGTAAATTTCCAGGGCCAAATTAGCCATTATCAGCTGCTAGCTGATATTGCAAATGCATGTAATTGTAATGGCCAATTTATTAGCCCATAAAGCCAAACCGGCCCAAAGGGGCAGGACCAACTGAGTTGCGCCGGACGGACTCGGAAAACTTGGCTGACATGCCCGTCATGTGCAACATGTCAGCTTAATTATGCTCGGGAGGAAGTGTGGGGTGGGTGCTTTGGGTTGGCTGGCTGCGGACTACTGCTGCACTGCGGGAAAATAGGTTAAAATAATTTCCCAAACTAAATACAAAATACATACGTTTTCTAAAAAGGTTTTTTTAAGGTAGTAGGTAAATGTGGTGTAATAAAATTGAATTAAAGTCTAAATGCAGCACTAGTTGTAGGTTTATAAAAGAAGAAAACATGCACCACAAAATTACCCAACATTTTTTAAATATGTTGGCTAAGCTTATTTTTAAAGTTTCTAAGTTTTGAAAAATTTTGGGTGTTGAATAAAACATTAAAAGAGTTAAGGGAATATAGCAGTATTAAAGTTAATTAAAAACTGTTAAAAGATTTAAAGCGGCATTTCCCTACAAAAAATAGGTATTTTTATGAAACTGCATTAATTTTCTAAGTGTGGGGATGAAGTGCGACGGTGCATTGCAATTTATCAACAAGCTGGCGGCTTGGGGGAAAACCGTTACGAGCTCCATTAGTGGCAGCCACTTAATGTCCCCTCTGCTTTTTCTCTCCCCCTTTCACCGCAGAGCCATTTGGAGAAGATAATTGAGAAGCCCAATCAGCCAGCCACCCGCGCCATCAAGTCCGCCGATAGTTTCGAGGAGAAGGTAAGTCCGATTCGATTCCACGCCATTGATTTGGTTATTTTTAATTTCCAACTAATCTGATCCGACAGAAAATGCGCAATCGTTTCACTGTGCTATTCGAACTTGGTGGGGAATATCAGGCTGCCAACGTTTCGAGACCCTCTGTCAGCGAGTTGAGCTCCTCGACGCTGGCCCAAATTGCTCAGTTTGTGGCCACCACCGGACAAACAGTCAACATCTGCGATGTCCACGAGTGGGTCAGGGATCACAATCAGATTCGGGCCGAGGACGAAATCGACAGCACCCAGGCCATCCTCTGTATGCCAATTATGAATGCCCAGAAGAAGGTGATTGGCGTCGCCCAGCTTATCAACAAAGTGAGTGTTATTTATTATAATTAAAAGATAGAAATTAATAACATTTGAAAACTGTTTAAAACAGGCCAATGGCGTGCCCTTCACCGAATCGGATGCCTCGATCTTCGAGGCGTTTGCCATCTTCTGCGGTCTGGGCATTCACAACACCCAGATGTACGAGAACGCCTGCAAGCTGATGGCCAAGCAGAAGGTGGCCCTCGAGTGCCTCAGTTACCATGCCACCGCCAGCCAGGATCAGACGGAGAAGCTCACCCAGGACGCGATTGCCGAGGCGGAGTCCTACAACTTGTATAGTTTTACCTTTACTGGTAAGTAAATGCTAAACTATATTTATCTTGATAAGGATATCATCAGAAAGTGGGTTCATTAATAAATAAAACTTATACCTAATTTTATTACATTCCAGATTTTGAACTAGTTGACGATGATACTTGCCGTGCAGTGCTGCGCATGTTTATGCAGTGCAATCTGGTCTCGCAATTCCAGATTCCTTATGATGTAAGCTAATAAATTAAAGAAAATTAGAAATTCGTTTTATTAACAATTTGCAATAACTTTGTTTACCCCTTTTTCTATAAAAGTATTATTTAGGCGTATAAAACCATTTTAGTATTCAAAAATACTTTAATTATTTTCTTCTTTGCTTATAATAATCTCTTTTAAGGTCCTTTGCCGTTGGGTTTTGAGTGTTCGGAAGAACTATCGCCCCGTGAAATATCACAATTGGCGGCATGCACTTAACGTGGCCCAGACAATGTTTGCCATGTTGAAAACTGGCAAGATGGAGCGGTTTATGACGGACTTGGAGATCCTGGGCCTGCTGGTGGCCTGTTTGTGCCATGACTTGGATCACCGTGGCACGAACAACGCCTTTCAGACCAAAACGGAATCTCCGTTGGCCATTTTGTACACAACTAGCACAATGGAGCACCATCACTTCGATCAGTGCGTAATGATCCTTAATTCGGAGGGAAATAACATATTTCAGGTGAGGGAATGCCCCAAGATTTTTAACTAAATATGGAATTTACTATAATGGGTAGTTGCATAACTTAAAATAAGATGTAGAATAAAAGTACATTACCAGCCTTGCAAACCCTCTTCTCAGAATAGTTCATCTAATGGCCCAGAAATGTATTAAATCTTTTATGTTTTGGCTATAACTGTTAACGATTTATTCTCAAAAATTCAACTTGACTTAGTCTATCGACGAAAAACGCGGAAATTACGGTTCTTGGACTTCTTGTTGAGTTTTCGGTTTGCAGCAGCCTTCTTGGCCTTTTTGATGGCATTCAGGCGGGCTTGACGAGCGCGGATACTTTTGGATTTGGTCGAGGAACTGGTTAAGTTTCCGACATTGATCTTTCTTTTCACCGAGAACTTCAAACCACTTACACGGACGATTTTTCTATTAACATCCGAGGTAGTTGAATTTGTCGACGATTCCGTGGTGGTGGTGCTGGTGGTGCTGACCGTTGTCGTGGTAGTGGTAGTAGTTGCCTCCGTGGAAGTGGTAGTGGAAGTGTCAGTATCGGCAGTCCTCACTTGAGCCACATAAACGACCATCGAAAGGAAGAAAAGAGCGAGGGAGAACTTCATGTTGGATGCTTCAATTGTAAACTGATATGCCTTTTGCTGGGAAAGTGGCACTTTTATAGTATATCCAAGACTGGTTGCCGACCTTCAATTAGCCAAAATCTTTGTTTGCCAAAATAAGTCTGAATTGAGTCCACCTTGACTGCGATAAATGGTGAACTTTTGTTTAAGCACATGTCTTATTCTATGGTGACGTCATGGGTACAGGTGTTTTAAACTTAGAAACTTAAGAATAGAATTGTTAATCTTAGCTATTAACCGAACTTGACTTAACGGAAACTTTGTGTTTGCTTTAATTTTTAGGCCTTGTCACCTGAGGACTATCGCTCGGTCATGAAGACCGTGGAAAGCGCCATCCTGTCCACCGATTTGGCCATGTACTTCAAGAAACGGAACGCCTTTCTTGAGTTGGTGGAAAATGGCGAATTCGATTGGCAGGGCGAGGAGAAGAAGGATTGTGAGTCACATTTATATATACTTGTTAGTTTTTTATGATTTGTTTTGGTTCGAGAATACTTTCCTTTTAATTTTGATGTCTTAACTCTACAATAAAACTTTTATTTGTATCTTTACTAAAATAATTTTTATTCAAATAACTTTATACTTTAGTACTTTGTGGAATGATGATGACTGCCTGCGATGTGAGTGCTATTGCCAAACCCTGGGAAGTGCAGCACAAAGTGGCCAAGTTGGTGGCCGATGAGTTCTTCGACCAAGGAGATCTTGAAAAGCTGCAGCTCAACACCCAACCAGTGGCCATGATGGACAGGTGAGTTGTGTAAAGGAAATATAAATATAAATATAAATAAATATAAATATAATTTTTAGGGAGCGCAAGGACGAGCTGCCCAAGATGCAGGTGGGCTTTATCGACGTGATCTGCCTGCCCCTTTATAGGGTGCTCTGCGACACCTTCCCCTGGATCACTCCCCTTTACGAGGGCACCCTGGAGAACCGACGCAACTGGCAGGATCTGGCCGAGAAGGTGGAGATGGGCCTCACCTGGATCGACCATGATACGATTGACAAGCCCGTGGAGGAGTTTGCCGCCTGTGCGGATGAGGAGATCAAGGACATTGAGTTCACAGTCACCACTCTCAATTGCAATCAGCAATCGCAGCACGGCAGCGAGGATAGCCACACACCGGAGCACCAGCGAAGTGGCTCCAGATTGAGCATGAAGAAGACAGGAGCCCTGGGCAAGGCCGTTCGTTCCAAGCTCTCGAAGACCCTCTACAACAGCATGGATGGCTCGAAGCCAAAGACCTCTCTGAAACTGCTGGAGTCCCATGTCAGCGAGGACATGGACGACAAGAGCCCCACGAGTCCTTCGCAGCCGCAGGCATCCGGCAGCGTGGGCCGCATGTCCGCCTCGTCATCCACCTCGTCGGCCGGCGGTCAGATGGTGGACAAGTCCAAAAAGCGCTCCAAACTGTGCGCGCTGTTATGACGAAAGCCGTCCAATTAGAATATGGCGACTCCCTCCAGCACGACGGCCAGTGAGACTGACCAAAAGTGTGGAGGGGGGCTGACCGAGTTCTAATTGGATATTTGCGGTTTGGAAAAATTCACAATAACTTGTTGCTCTACCTGTATCTATTACAGTGTGACGTACTCTATTTCGACTAAATTTGAATACCATTCGTATTGATGAAACTATACTTTATAGCATTCGATTCAGTTTAATATTGACACTCATATTTAATTTAAAACAAATTCTACCACATACTTCTGAAATGAAAAAGCTATGAAAATGATTTACTAACTAATATTATTTGGAAAACCTTTTTCTTAATATGAAATCAAAAGGGCCCCTATTTATTCGAATTTTGTTTTCATATCCATCAAATCTGTATATTACAAAAGTACAATTTCATCAAAAAGAACTCCTTCAAATTTAATCGAAATCGAAGTCGAAAGCGGGAGTATATGTATATGTTTGATATATGTTTTAAGTACTATAACTATCCCTACACAAGCGGATGAGCATTAGGCAGAAGCAAATGCAGTTGCAATATTAAGCATAAGTGAATGTCAAAATATGTGATCTATTTAAGGTCCCGAAGGTGCGAAGCCCCCGGGTTGAACCTTTTGTCGGATACTATCCCCTCTCTCTATCTATCTGTCTGTCGCTTTTAGGTGATTGAAAACCGCGAAACTAAACTAACTAAGTAGATCCAACCAACTAGCTAAGCGTGTACCTAGTTACCCTAACCAAATCGTGCTAGTCAAACGTATGAGATACTATATGAAACACCCTAGTTAAGCATTTGTGAGGCTATATTCCAGGCATCGGGCATCAGGGGGGATCATCACTAGTCCTCGCCTGTGATCGGCTTGAAATCTACTTTATAGCTAAATAATATTTGTATGCACAGACGTGTGTATTTACCTAGCAAACTATAGCAATATTATATGATATTTCCCACACGATTGTGAGCACAGCACAAATATTGAGAAATCGAAATCCTCTAAAACGCTCTAATATGAATGAATTATACATTTCGTACTATGTTTGATTGTATAAATATAAATATTAGCTTAAAGATAGACAGCAGTCAATTTTTGAACTCGAACTCAAACAAAATACGAATACGATAAACATTTAGCATATATTTAATCGCACTCGGTTAATACGAATAGACCGGTCCCACACTCTCCTAGTTGTTGCAATGAAGTTTACTTTATCTGTGTGTACGTGTACAAAGAAAACTATATACTGTAGAGCATAAATATAAACTAAATATATAAATATATACGGAAACTATATGAAATATTTACATGTGACTAATGTAACTATAACTGAATTGCTTAGAATTAACGTGTTTAAGTGCATCTCATTTATTTTTTCCATTGGTCTGCGTGTGCTAAACAAATTTGGCTATAAGAATATTAACAAAGATAAACGTTTAAAACTATTTTTCTAGTTACTCTGCCGCTCGCTTGAAAATCAAAATCCAGATAACTTTATGAGCCGATTTGAGCATTTTTCTGGGTTTAGTTGTGACAATTGATTGTGTATATTTCTCTAGACAGTTTCGTTGCTTGTTTCTGTTCACCAACGATTTACAATTTATTCACATTTGTTTACCTAATTGTGTAAGACTTGCAATTAAATCAAAAATAAATCACACCATTGAGAATTACTCCAAAACATTATTTTATAATATGATGCCTGGTTTGTTTGTGATGGTAGGTACAAACTAAAATAATAACAATTCCCTTTTTAGTTTGTATATTTTTATACCCCTGCAGAGGGTATTATAATTTCAGTCAAAAGTTTGCAACGCAGTGAAGAAGACATTTCCGACCCTATAATGTATATATATTCTAGATCAGCATCACCAGGAGAGTCGATCTAGCCATGTCCGTCCGTCCGTCCGTCCGTCCGTCCGTCCGTCCGTCCGTCCGTCCGTCTGTCCGTTTCTACGCAAACTAGTCCCTCAGTTTTAAAGCTATCTGCTCAAAACTTTCCCAAAAGTTGTCTTTCTATTGCAGGTAGTGTATAAATCGGAACGTGCCGGATCGGCCGACTATATCCTATAGCTACCATATAACTGAACGATACGAAATGCCATAACTTTTGTGTTTGTAAGTCCACAAGTCTTTAGAGGTATGCCACTTTGAAATCGGATTATATTTGGTAAAGTTATGGAATCTAGGAGTCCAATTGTGGGTCATCTTTGGGCAACTCATCGGAAACTTAGAAATAACCAACATGAAAATGGGTCAAAAAGTCGGTCAACGCTAAAATGAAAATGTTGAATGCAGATTTTTAGAGAATCCAACCACAAGTCTTTAGAGGTATGCCACTTTGAAATCGGATTATATTTGGTAAAGTTATGGAATCTAGGAGTCCAATTGTGGGTCACCTTTGGGCAACTCATCGGAAACTTAGAAATAACCAACATGAAAATGGGTCAAAAAGTCGGTCAACGCTAAAATGGAAACTTTGAATGCAGATTTTTAGAGAATCCAACCACAAGTCTTTAGAGGTATGCCATTTTGAAATCGGATTATATTTGGTAAAGTTATGGAATCTAGGAGTCCAATTGTGGGTCACCTTTGGGCAACTCATCGGAAACTTAGAAATAACCAACATGAAAATGGGTCAAAAAGTCGGTCAGCGGTAAAATGAAAATTTTGAATGCAGATTTTTGGAGAATCCAACCACAAGTCTTTAGAGGTATGCCACTTTGAAATCGGATTATATTTGGTAGAGTTATGGAATCTAGGAGTCCAATTGTGGGTCAGCTTTGGGCAACTCATCGGAAACTAAGAAATAACCAACATGAAAATGGGTCAAAAAGTGGGTCAGCGCTAAAATGAAAATTTTGAATGCAGAATTTTAGAGAATCCAAACACAAGTCTTTAGAGGTATGCCACTTTGAAATCGGATTATATTTGGTAAAGTTATGGCCGATTGGAAATGCCATAACTTTTTGTAAAGTTAAGAACTTGGGATTTTTTATGGGTTTTATGGTCAACCAATATAATTTACAGAATATTCTGCAAGGGTATATAAAATTCGGCTCCGCCCAAAGATAGCTTTCCTTTCTTGTTTGTGGATAAATTATAAAAAATCAAAATATTTTTATTTATTATAAACTGCGTAAAAATACTTAAACCAATCATGAATATTTTTTAGTGTAAAATTTATAGTAGTGTTTTTCTAAACAATTTTCTTTTTGTAAATATTTAAATTTGTCCATCAAATTATAAATCAAAATTAGCGGAGACACCGACCCGCAGCGGAGACACCAACACTTACTCCACAGGTAGCGAGTATATAAACCATTTTATTTCCTTTTTTGAGGTGAAAAAACATCGATGCCATCTCTAGTGTGCAATCAGCTGTTGGACGTTAAAACAACCTACTACACGTGAAATTTTTAAAAGTAAATAAATATAGTTTTGAAAGGAATTTAAGGCGGATATGTCCTCTCCCAGTGAATCCTCATCGGCTTCAGAGCACGAAGCATCCAGTGAAGATGAAACTCAGGTAAAAGTAATCAAATGTTTGCACTTAATTTTTAACATTTTCGAGAATTTTCAGAATGCCATTCGTGACGATCTTAAGGGAATGTCCTTCGAGGAAATAATGAAACTCAAAGAGGAATTGGGCGCCAAGGTCTACAAAGAAGCCGTCCTTGGGGCCAAAAGTTCAAGACCCCAAAAACCCAAAACCAAAAGCGATCTTAAACGACTGAATAAGAATCGACCCCGTGAAATGAGCACCAGGAGGCAGGTTCCATTTTTGGGAGCAGAGCACAGAGTGGAGAGGAAAAAAGCTGTAGAACTTCGAGATCCAAGATTCGATGAGAAATCGGGAAGTTACAATGCAGAATCCTTCAAGAAGAACTACCAGTTCGTCTCCCAAATTCGCACCAAGGAGGTCGGCCAGCTGAAAAAGCAACTGGACGAGGTGGAGGACGATGAGGAAAAACATCAAATAAAGGACACCATGCAGCGACTAATCAACAAGAATGTGGAGGACAAGAAGTGGCACACAAAACAAAAGCAACTCAAAAAAGAGCGCGCTGGCATTCAAAAGAAGCATAACCTAGGACAACAGCCTCACTATCTCACAAAGAGTGAGTTTTAAAATATTTTTTTAACTTTAAGATACTAGATATCAAACTAACTATAGAACTGCGAGTTCTAGGCAAATGATACAAAACGTAGATTTGAAACCCTGCAATTATTGAAAAGCTTTTTAAACACAAGCTCAATATAAATTCCTTTTCAGAGGAGCGTCGTGCCAAGGAACTGGTGGCCCAATTTGAGAAGCTGAAAGACACCGGGAAACTGAATAAACATATGGAAAAAAGACGCAAGAAAAACGCCGCCAAGGACCGCAAACGCATTGGCATAGAATAAGTCTTTCACTTTAAGTATAAATGTATTTTTAACAATTAAACACACAGTGCTAATCAGCAAACCTAGCCCGTGCGCAACATCTTGGCCTCTCGCTTCTCCTGCAACTCGCGCCGCTGCTGCTCCACAATAATCTTGCGCTCCTCTAAGAACTCCCCATAAGCCACCGGATCTATGTCCTTGACCACCTTGATGCCACAGGTCCGGGCAATGCAAATTAGCATCTCACACATTTGCTGAAAATAAAAGGATTCATTAATTTGTATAAAAAAAGTTTGGGAAAGAGATTCAATCGGAAAGCATATTGGCTTGTAGAACCAAAAGAAAGAAATTAAGGAATCTTGAAGGTATGAGTTTAACTTTGAGTCTTAAAGTATTAATGTTTTTGGAAGACCTACCTGCATAGTAAGAAGGGCATTTGGCGGATCCTGAATTTTGATCGAGGCAATTTCGTATAAATGCTTGAGAGTGATCATGCCGGCGACTTCCTTGCCAGGGGTCATGGTGCCTCTTTGGATTCCCGCCGCCTGTTTCAGGAAATAAGTGGCCGGCGGATGGTGGATGACCAAATCAAAGCTGCGATCGCTATTCACGGAAATCCTGCAGGGCAATGGCACGCCTTCCTTCATTTCTGCGGTCTTGGCATTAAAGTCTTTGCAAAAGGCGGCAATATTAATAGCTCTCTGTGCGGGATATAGGATATAGCATAAAAATTATATATTTATCAATCTTCAAGCCGGCTAGTTCACCTGTCCCAACATTGGTCCCAATGGAGGTCCTGCAGCGGCCATTCCCGCGGGTATATTCGTTTTCAGTTTGCTCGTGTGCGTCACACGATCCACTGTCTTCTTCAGGGATTTCAGTTTACCCGCCGCCTTGGACATTTTAATTGATTTATTTTAACTAAACGATTGTCTGCAACTGTTATGCAAAGCGAAATGTGTTGGTAGAGGGAAGAAGAAGAACCAGCAGAAACAGCTGTGGCAGTGCTGACAACCGTTTATAAGTTGAGGGTTCTAGCTGAAAAAAATGTTCAATACAGCAGGCTTTTAACTGGTAATACTATGACAGCAGCGGAATATTTTTAAGACATTTTTTATAAGAGCTTAATGATAAATAGCCAAATTTTCGTGAAAAAAGCCAAGCAGCCACCCCTAATGCGAGTAAGAAACAGCGCGGGAAAACAGCTGTTTGCACTGCCTATCGCCTATCGATAGCCGAGGTGACACAGCAGGCAGCTTTCGTGGCAGTGTGCCAAATTGAAATCAGCTGCCAGCTGAGAAGTGAGAAATTAAATAACAATAACAAACGCGGGAATAATCACAGAAACCGATGGCTTTGCGCAGTTCCCACCGCCTGAAAGTGTTCCTCAGGCGCTGCACTGCCTTCCCCGTATTCAACACCCACGCTCCCAATCGTAGGAGCAGCCAAATACCAAGAAAAAGCGCCGATCCAAACACCAATGGCTACAGTGGGCAGGATCGACACAATGACGGTCAAAATGAAAGTGGCTGGCGGAGATTGGTGCGCTTCTTTGTGCCGTTTTCCCTGGGCGCAGTGGTCAGTGCGATGGTTATTAAGCGGGAGGATCTGACGCCGACGATCACCGCCTCCAAAATGAGCGGTCGTCGACGGGACTTCAACTTTATAGCGGATGTGGTGGCTGGCTGTGCCGATTCCGTGGTTTATATTGAAATCAAGGACACCCGCCACTTTGACTACTTCAGCGGCCAACCGATCACCGCCTCGAATGGCTCTGGTTTCATCATAGAACAGAACGGTCTCATCCTGACCAATGCCCATGTGGTGATCAACAAGCCGCACACAATGGTCCAGGTGAGGCTTTCCGACGGCAGGACCTTTCCCGCCACCATCGAGGACGTGGATCAGACCTCCGATCTGGCCACTCTGCGTATACAGGTGAGAAATTGGACTCCCTCTTTCGACTCAATCGTAATTCCTTTCCCGAAAAATCCTACAGGTAAACAATCTGTCTGTGATGCGACTGGGCAAGAGCAGTACCCTGCGATCCGGCGAGTGGGTGGTGGCCTTGGGCAGTCCGCTGGCCTTGAGCAACACGGTCACAGCTGGCGTGATCAGCTCCACGCAACGTGCTTCCCAAGAACTTGGTCTTCGAAACAGGGACATTAACTACCTGCAAACTGATGCGGCCATTACTTTTGGCAACTCCGGCGGACCCTTGGTTAATCTGGATGGCGAAGCCATTGGGGTTAACTCGATGAAGGTGACTGCAGGAATCAGCTTCGCCATACCCATCGACTATGTGAAAGTGTTTCTAGAACGGGCTGCCGAGCGGCGCAAGAAGGGCTCGGCGTACAAAACTGGCTACCCTGTAAAGCGGTACATGGGTATCACCATGCTGACGCTCACTCCAGACATCCTGTTCGAGCTCAAGTCTCGCAGCCAGAACATGCCCAGCAACCTCACGCACGGAGTGCTCGTGTGGAAGGTCATCGTGGGGTCACCAGCGCACAGGTGGGTCTAAATAGCTAAATGTTTGTATTATCCGTGGTGCTTCAACATCTTTTAACATAAATCCGACAGAAAGTCCAAAAAGGTTCTGTTGTGAACTATTTCTTTAAAATACAAAACATACTTGCTTTTTTAAGTTTGTTATTTGATCTTAAATGATTTTATTACTTATTTAATCTGTTAACTCAAATCTCTTTCCAGTGGCGGCTTGCAACCCGGCGACATAGTGACACACATAAACAAAAAGGAGATTAAGAACTCTTCGGATGTCTACGATGCCCTGGCAGACAATAGCAAAACCTTGGATATAGTGATCCTGCGTGGCGTCAAACAGATGCATGTGACCATAACGCCAGAGGATCCCTAATGAAACCGGTGTTACGCACCTGTAAGCTTCGATCAACTACCATATTGTGTTTGCCTGACTTGCAATATATATATATATATTTATAAACGAAATCGACCGATCCTGGGAAGAAATCGCTGACAATCCCACCACACACACGCTCCTATTCCAAATCGAGTGCCTGCCTATATTTGTCACTGGCTAACGAGTAGGGAAATTTGCATAGATCGCGGGCTCGTTATCAGTGGCCATTATTAACAGCGACACGACCATAAGTTAATCTACGCATCGTATGGCACAAAAATGTATCTCCGACTGGGTCGATTGGGTCGTCTGTCCATTTCCGAACATCATCGATTTCTCTTTCATGAGGCGCTGTGCGTGTCTCCATCTTCCTGTCCGTCCGATTGTCCCCATCCAACAACGACAAAAATGTATTTACGCTAATTGAAATATCTCGCGTTGCGATCAATCGATGCCATATTTTTTATAGGCCAAACCTCGGCAGTGGTGCAGCAACTGCTGCAACAGCGGCCGGCAGCAACATCAGCCGCGAAAACGTCGAAAACCGAAATGCAAATTTCAATAAATTTATGCAACTGTATTCCCAGCGCTTCACTTGGCCCCAGCTGTTCATACCCTCGGTTGGGTACTTCAAAAGTGTTTTAAAAGTTGAAATGATTTTTTGTCAAAATTTTAATTCTAAACTTTATTTGATGATGTGATCTAATAAAGTATTGAAATATTAAAAATAGTATATTGGTTCCTCATAGACAACTTAAGTAGTAAACCTTTTCGAATCAAACACAAGGGAAATAATTTTTACTTTTAAGATCCTGTCTTAGCACTTACATATATAATTTCAGTTCAAATTTATTTCAACTTATTTTTTATGTATAAAAAAAGGACATATATTTTTATAAGACAGCTTGAATCTTACACAAAATAAAACCATTAAAATTTATATTTGTAAATAACTTGGAAGAGTAATCAAACTTCGGATCTTGAAGTACATTTTACTTTGGTTTCGGTTTATTTGTGGGTGACAAGGCAGAGGATGCCGATGATGTTGTTGCTGCTGCTGCTGTCGTTGCGTGAAAAGTGAAATTCTTGTGATTATTAATTTTGTTTTCGCTTTTGGCGATGCTACGCTTTTTTAGTTTTTGCATATAAATTCATATATTGATTCCGCCGGACTGGCCGGCCATTGTTGTTGCAGTTGCCGATGTCGTTGCCGTTGCTGTCGTTGTTTATGTGACAGCGGCCTTTATGACATTGTTGGCACTAAGTTACCTTTATTGCTTATAAGCCGCACGCATAAATGCAGCTTAAAGTTCATAAATTTGCCAATATTCACTCGGCAAGGGGTTAAGCAAACGGACCTCTCTTCTGCGATCGTGTAAACACTTTTTACTTTATTCGCTGGCGCCCCACGCTTTTTGCACTTTCTTTCTGCCATTTCAGCCGCTTGGCGAGCATTCGTTTCCATTTCGGATTTCAATCCGCGCTTGCACTCGCTGCGCCAGCTAATTGAAATATTTAAAATGCATAAAAGTATCGCATTTAAACTTTGCAATTAGTTTGTGGTGATCGCCGCAGTTGCTGTCGTCGTGGGTACGGATATGTTGTAGTTGTCGGTCGGTTGTTGTGGGCCGCTTAAATTACAAACCTGTGAGAAATTTTGTCGCTCTTTTGGTTGCTTTGTGACTTGGTTGTCAGCCATACACTAGGGAAAATATGGGCAAAACGACTGCTTAGAGGTGCTGGGGAAAAAGCTGAAGAAAGTGAATTAGGTTAGACCCTCTATGCCTTCGAGTACATCATAAAGGCCAACTTCTTTTGTTTACTAAAACGAGCAAATAACAGAAACTTTTAAATAAGATAAAACATATTGTATTGAATACTACTCAATTTTGTAAACATTGCTAGAAACTCATAAAATATTTATAATTTACGAAGCCATTGGACTGGCTATTACTAAGTTATTGTTATTACTTACTACTTTTATTTTATAATTGTTTTATAAATAAAATTTTCAAAAAAAAAGTATAAAAATTTAAATTAAAATATCATTTAACAAGCAGAGACAATAGATATTTAAAATAGATATGTACATATATAATTAAACAAATTTTAAAGTGCAGGTCTATTTTCAAATTGATATATCCAAAAGGGCATTTGGGCTCGTATTGAAACATTTTCGCAATTGGCGGACATTATTGTGAATTAAGATCACAAAGTTGTTTTTGCGGTGAGCAGCGTTTTGTGGCTGTGATCATGTTCACACGCTGCGGCCGTAAAGCCGAAGCCCTAAAGGCGGTAAGTGTCGTGATTTGGCCGGACTTTCATAAAAGGCGGCAATTAATAATGGAAGTAGTCAAAGGCCCAGCAACTCCATCAAACGAACACGTTTGACGAGGATCATTTGGATGTTTTTGTAAATTTTGCGATTCGATTGAGCTATTAAACGTGCTGTTAATTGTGCAGCCACCGACGCTTTGGGTCAAAGGACTGCAAATTGTCGCATTAACCCAGAAATGTCAGACTAAAGATCTTGCACATGTAATGGACTTTTTGGTTTTTGGTCTTTATTTCCTTTTAGGTGACCCCATCAGACACCTAAATCAACGACTTTCTCGTGCGCTGTTCCCATGAACTGCTCACATTTAAACATATTGGCAGGCGCATTGGAAAAGTGCATAAAGCAACGACGATGGCGAACGAACACCTACAACAGCCGGCAACTTTTGTAATAGCAACAACATTAAAGTTCATGACACACAACTGTAAAATGTTTCAGACCGAAAAAAAAAACTTTTACCGCCGATAATAAATGGCTGCGACTTTGCGCCCCCAAAAGTTCAAGACATCATCGCATCGCCGTCCCGCATGTGAAAAGTTCTCCTCCAAAGACGGACAGCTGGACAGTTGGACAGTTGGGCATTTGGCCGTGCTTGGAGCCATGGACAGGAAGTCGACGGCTGGCCTGGCATAGATGAAAACGAAGCCAAGAGCAAGAGATCGGGCCCGATGGCCAATGCCACGGGCCATAAATCACTTGAGTATGCCAAAAGTTACATAATAATTCTGCGCTGATCATCGTCGCGATAACTGATGGACGCAGCGGCATTAATCAAGAAATCAAGGGGGGTGAGTTGGGGAAATAAAGCCATCGTCATCAATCCGTTGTCCAAATTGAAATGTGTTTTAATGTGCCATTTTATGCGGCGTGCCAATTGGTCTCCTACACATTTTTTTTTTATATTTTGGGGGCTGGGCCCCAGCTCGATTGCATTAAATCAACAGATTCATAAAAATGAAAAACACGAAAAATTATGATGATTACGCGGAAATGTGTGGCAACTGTGCTTTTTGTGGCCACTGGGCTAAAATGCTTTATGAAATTGCACAAGTGTGTTTGGCCATTTGCTGAATTATGGCATCCAGGTTTTTCTCCTTCTTACTTTGTTATTTTTTTCGATTTTTTTTTGGTTTTTTGGGTCGCCGCAGGGCGCTGGTGCATTGCAGTTTTCATTAAACGCTTGGGAAACTGTGCAACTGGGAGTCAGGGAGTCGGGGAGCCGGGTTTTAGTGGGTCAGTTTACACATCTGGCTTTTGGCTTGGTTTTGTAGTGTTGGTCAAATATTTGCGCCAGCGCACAGAGTCATCATCATTAATAACGATGAAAATTTCACCTGTTGGAAAAGCGTTTTGCGTTTTGCGCAGTGCTGCCGCTGGATGTTTATGTTTTCTTTATTTAGGCAAATCCATCAATTACTATACGCTCGAGTGTGGCCCATTGGGGAAGTCATTTGTTTGCTCGGAAAACGCTGTCGAGCGTGACGAAAACAAGCTTCTAATCTGGCCCAGCCGAACTGGCAACTTTTCGATTCGATCTGTCCACCGAATTGATTGATTTGTCAGCGGTCGGCCACTGACAATCCCACAAATCCCCAAGATTTATGCCCATGTCTTCTGACCATTTTCAGACAAATTATGCATAGGCTTTGAGACTCAATGTAATATTGAAATGATGTCATCGCCGCGATCAGCCGCTAAATAATGTACAACAAATAAAGATCAATTTCAAATCGATATCCACTGTAAAATCAATCCATGATTTTCTGTTGTTCAAATGAATTAAAATTCATTTTTTATTGATATTCGTTTTTGTGATTAAAATATCATAACGGTGGCTTTCAGAATTACACACCAAGTTAAAGTCTCTGGCAGTTAATCAAAATCCAATCAATCATCATAATAGTCACTTTTTCTTTCTGTGTGGCAAAGGCGGCCACACAGATTAAAGAGTGGAAATCGGGCCACCTGAATCATTTAATTGTTGCGATTTTTCACAAAATTGAAACATCTTCCGGCATGGAGAGCCAAGACAAACGATGTGTGCACCGAAATTAGTTTTTCGCATGCTGCTTGCCCGAGGCGTGAAAAGATTTTCACATGCAAGGTGCGGCGGTATCTACAACAACAGAAACAACAGCACCTGGAATAACAACAACAACAGCAACATCCAGTGGTAGCGCGGCAAGTGTTGCTCTAATTTATAAAATGATTTTCTGCTACCAAGTCTGCGCTGAAAAGCACTAAAATGTTAGTAAGAGTGATCGAAGGGGTGTTACCTTCAAATTTTAAGAAGTAAGCTAACTATTATTTGACTAAATAAATAAACATTTTTACAACTAGAAAAAGTTTCAGATTTCAATAAAATGTATTATTATACTTAAATATTAAATAGCAATCTTATATTAATTTTGTATCTTTTTCAAAGCTAAGTTCTATTATTTTACATATTTGCCAACTAGTTCTTGACTCTAACTTATTTTTTACTTTTTCCAAGTTCCCAGTAAAACCCCTCTACAGAATATTATTATTAATCTATTGTTGTTTGTTAAGTATTAATCATAATATCATTTTTTATTTATAACTTCCAAGTGTTATATTAATTTAAATTGATTATATTTTTTAACAAAGCGAACTAAAATAATATTTAAATGATTTTAATAATAATTACTAAAAAAATTAGTTTAACAAAATGAGCGGTATAAGTAACTTTGAATCGCAAATGGACCTACAAGCCAAGGTAATCCCCTTTAAAGTCCAGGGTATTTTCCACAAATTAATTGCCTTGCGGTTCTCACACACTCACACTCGTCTTAGGCATGGCAGAAATTTCACTTCTATAGAAATTCCGCAGCTCAGCGATCGCAGAGCCTGGGGCTTTTCTTTCACACTTTTTTCACTGCTGGTGCTGCTGTCACTTGCTTTAGTTGCTGCTGTGCTGCTGATGTTGCTGATGTTGCTGATGTTGCTGGTGGGCCGCTGATGTTGCTGTTGCCTTTGTTTATTACGCATGACACGCCACACTCGCCCACCCATCATAAATGCCGTCACATGTTTTAATTAAATGCCAGCACAGAAAGGCCTTAAAAACTTTATATATCTTGTCCATTAATTGAAATTACAAAGCAAGACGATAATATCCGTCTGTCAGGCTCTTTTTATTTTTTTTTTGGCAATAATTTTGATTTTTACTATTTACACGAAGATGTTACCATGCTGACAATGCGTCGGCAAATGGGGGAGCGACTTTCACTCCTTTTAAGCACGGAAGGTAAGTTTATGACCCATCCGGCAGGTAGTTCGGATTTTATGTTCTATTGGGGCCATAAAACATGCCGGACCAGTAAAACATATTGTATGGTTTGATGGATTTTCGATGGATATGCGATGGATTGCTGAATCGATGGGTCGAGTTCGTTGTCTGAGTCTTTTGATTCGGACGGGCGTGAAAAAAGTGTGTGCGTGGGCCCCTTTTTTTTGGGGTCCCCATCGAACCACTTTCGTTGCTGCCATCAATCAATTGCCAAATGCTAATGCAAATTGAATGCTGTTTTCATAAACAACATCCAAATACACGCGAAATGTCATTAATTTCAGCGCCGC